CCCTTTGTCAGTTCTGTATGAACAGTAGCATCTAATACCTTTATAATTTCTTTTTCATCCACTCCAACAATATTGAAATGACTTTAGATAAAAATGAGATGAACTCTTGTTTATTTTAAGCTTTTATATTTGGAATTTCTAAATGCTTGCCTATGAGGACTCTCAAAAGCAGACATGTTTGTTCTTTCTCATTCATAGCAATTCCATCACACAGAGAGCTCCTCCGATGAGGAAATGAGTAGGGATGAGGGCAACAGGGCTGGGGTCCTTGGAGGGAAGGTCTCATCTGTACCTCCCTCCACACGGGGCCTTTAACCTTGAGCAACATCCATCAATTGTGATGTGACAGTGATTTCAAGTGATTGTTGGGGTGTGTGACATCTGTCCCTGGCAATGAATATAGGAAATATGTTTTTCTCCTTTTTGTAGATTTCCCAACTCAAAAAACCTAGAATTACATTTTATTTACTTTTCCCCAGCTTAAGCTAGAGCTCTTTAAAGAGGGAAACAGTGCTTTCAGGGCCCCTAGACAATATCCCTTATTACTTAAGTTCTGCTGTTTATTCAAATGATCTGGGGAAATTATAATGAAGCAATAAAACATTTTAAACTCTCTGAATCAGATGCAGCCTTTAAAGAACTTATTTCCTAATAGAAAGCATATGGCATACATAAGAAATACTGTGAATAAGTTTTTACATTTTTTTCTCGATTCCCTACATTAGATTTTTTTTTTTTTTTTTGATGGTGAAAGAGGTTGAGCTCAGTGTCCTTTCTGCCGCCTGAGCCACATTGCCAGTCCTTTTTGGTGTTGGTTATATTTTAAATAGGGTCTTACTGTATGCCCAAGCCTGCCTGCACCTAGATCCTCCTGTTTGAGCCCAGTGGGTATGACAGGCACACACCACCACACCCATCCATTAGTTAAGATGGTGTCTCATACCACAGTCCTCTCAATCTCTGCCTCCCAAGTAGCTAAGATTATAGGCTTGAGCCATATAATTTCAGGGTTTTTCAGTGTGCCAGTCTCTCCAGGATAATATAATCATTCAGAAAATTAAAGATAATAGTACAAATAAAGTTTTATTGATACTTAATTCTGTTTTAACTAGGGAACTCAGATTATCCTGGAAACATAATTTTATAAATTATGAACGTTTTGGAAAAATCCAGAACTACTAAAAATAGAAATGAATACCAGTATTCAAACCCATTACAATAATAATAATATGCCTAGATTTCTATAAATCTCGGTGGGCTGCCAGCCGCCTTCTCCCACACTGTGTCTTAGAGATGCCTCAGAAGCAAGCAGAATGGCAGAATGGAAGTTGATGGGTCTGAGAAGACTCACGTAAAACTGTGAGAGATCCCTGAAGACCAAAGATGGGTATGTCTTAAGGAGGGGGAGATTGACAGACTAGCACCTTGCTAGGAAAAATGTTTTTCCTTTTGTCCACACTCAGCAGAAAATCAGCACCAGTCCAGCCATTCAGCTCTCTCACAGTGTCGCATCAGCACCAAAGCAGCAAGGTTTGGGAGGCAGGCGCACTGACAGCCCTTGAACTTCACGTCTTGAACTTACCCCCCACAATAAGGGCCAGAGGTTTCAAGCCAAGAGGCAGCCCTTGGAAAATGGAGTGTCGAGACCAAGGACCAAAGTACAGAGCAGTTCTCTGAGAGGCAGGATGAGGGATGAGGGGCTAACCCCATCTAAAACAGGAGTTCAGAAAGAAAAGCAGACAGCGCACAAAAAACTCAAGTGCTATAAAAGAAAGATTGCAAGCTGAGCACCCCTATTCCAGCTGGTACAGAATAAACAGAAGAGAAAAATAGAAGACTTCAAAACAGACATTATAGTCTCTAAGACATAAGATGGGGGAATGAAGGTTATTGGAAATGTTCTGTATTTCTTAAGCTGGGGATAAGTACAAAGGAATTTTATTCCTTTAATCTTATACATGATGTAATTTACTTAATATGTAATCAATATTTTAAATATCCTTTAACTCTTTAAAAACAAAGGAAAATCAGGGAGCTGTATGGAAACTACCACTTACCTCTTAAAAAGAATAAAACTGTCAACACCAAAAAGAAAAGAGGAAAGAAGGATGGATGGGATCTCAAACTCTTATGATGTGTTTTTGGTTCCCCTGAGCCCTAGCTTGAGAAACCTTGACTTTAATTAATTCATCTTAAAGTATATTTCAATTTTAAATTTTCATAGCAAAATATCACAGCATAGATTATGATAGCAAAAGAGAGTTTTCAGCTTTATAAGTGGTTTTCAGAAATTTTTTTATACTTACATCAAAATGCAAATCTGAAATTTAAAGTTTATCATAGAATTTCTTACTATCAAGAAAATATCCAAGCCAGGTGCCAGTGGCTCACACCTGCAATCCCAGCTACTCAGGAGGCAATGATCAGGAGGATGGCGGTTCAAAGCCAGACCAGGCAAATAGCTTGCAAGACCCTATCTTGAAAAAATCGATCACAAAAATAGGGCTGGTGGAGTGGCTCAAGGTGAAGGCCCTGAGTTCAAATCCCTGTACCACAAAAAAAACCCCACAGATTTCATGATACATAGACCCTAGATTGAGAAATATCAAGATTTCTGAAAGAGTGGCTGTTATTAGACCCAAGCTACACCATACTTTTGCAAGGAGAAAGAGTAATGGTTAATGAAACTGACAACGTAAAATGAAATAATTATATTAATATATGCATATTTATGAATCCTTGCTCTTTGCTGAGATACTATAGGTTCAATTAAAACTAATACATATGTGACCAGAAAGGTCAGTACAGTTGCCTCGATTTGTGTGATCTGGGCTTAGAGAGAATTCAAGCAAACCAGAAAGTAGTGAAAGTGAAAGTAAAGATTATTAGGAATAGAATACCTACTGCTTGTGGTCTGTAGGATGAGAAGACAGGATTAGCTTTTGGGGCTTGAATACTTACTGAACTTTGTGAGAAATTCTAGCCCCAGGTCTAGCCTATAGGGCTGAGTTAAGTTCAAGATCTGTTATGCTTGAACAAAGCCTTTGTTAATCTCAGGATGGGTAGGGCCTCAAAAACATCTTAGGACCTCCTATGTTATTGTCGAACTATTTTGATGGAACAGAGGCTTGTCATCTATGAGTTGGAAAGTTTAATTACAATGTTTCCCCTGAGACCTATGATCTCTTCCTCCCATGGTCACCACTTATGTTTACCTACTACCTAACATTTGTCCCCATCAAGGACTCCAGACCTTAAAGAATCTTCCATTTAAAGATCCCTTTGCATATCCCCATCGCCCACGGCTAACTACTACCTATCACGTCCAAGGGGAGACAATGCCATACAGTATGAGTTTGAGTTTGATAAAATTGTTTTAAAAACTAAAAACAGCAATGTGAGAAGAACAATATAAGATATTAACAACTATAATGGTGCTAATGAGAATAGTGGGATATTGCAGCACATCAGCAAATGTTTACTGAATTTAATTGAGTGCCCTAGGTCCAGGATGCATCGTTACCAAATGTTACATGTCCTTTCTCATCACCCTCCAAGAGGTTTACTCCAGTCAATCATAGCTTCATGTCCTGCCCAACACTGACTTTCCCCTCCCTCCCTCCCTCCCTCCCTCCCTTTTCTTCTCTGGTTGGGGGGAGAGGGAGACAGGTAATGCCAATTTTATTCTCTAGAAAAGGGATCAGCGTATTATATAAGTCTGAAGAACATAATTTTAGACACTTTATTTTTTCCTTCAAGTTCACAAATTGCTTTCAAGTTGACAGCTTCCAAACAGCTACCCGATTTTCCTTTGTTTTTGGAATTAAAGGATTTTTAAATATTGATTATATTTAAGCATTTATTATCTATGTATCTACCAAAGGAAGCACCCAAAACCCTGCCCAAGACAGCACCACCCTCCACTTGCCTTCCACATTTCCTCTCTGACCTTCTCTTGCTTCTTTTTTCTCTAAATTACCACACCCCATGTTGGTAGCAATTTCTCATTTCATCCTAAATTGGCTTTTCCCAGTAGCTTTCCCAGTCAGGACAGGGGCACAGTGCCTTCTCGGGTTTGCTGAGGTTTAGTCACCAAATGTTCTGGTTTCCTCTTCACTCATGTGAAGATTGTTTTAATCCCCACTGAACTCTGTGTGCACACATTCCTGCCTCCTCACACTTGCCACCATGAGTGCCTCAACTGGTAAACCCATGGAAGGCCAAGGATGTGTTTGTGTGTTGTGTTTTCAACAGTTCTATGCCATACCTTGTATCTCTTCAGCCCTCCAACTTCTTATTCCTTCCTTACCCTCTTAGAAAATGATTCAGTCTGCAAGAGCACTTAGCAATGAGAATGCTTATGGAATATAATTTAGCCACATTTTTGAACTAGGTTTGTACAGTGAAGTGGAGAATTAAGATGATTTTCTCTTCCTTCATTAATGACTTTCCCCACACCCAACCCCAAAGAAATCGCCTCTGCCTGTTCTGTTTGGTGATTTTAGGTAACATTTTTAAATGGGTAAGAGCATGGATTTCACAATTAGAAAGCTGCCATTCAAATCCAACACTTGCAAGCTGCATGAAATTGAGAAATTGAATAACTTTGCATAGTTTTGGGTTTACAAGCCATAAAATAGGGATAATAGTACCTTGCCTCATAAAATACTAACATGATCACATGCCATGGCACATGTAAATGCCTTGGCTGACATTGAACCTGTTTCATAACAGCAATCAGGAGAAAAAGAATAGCTATTACACAGGACCTCACAGGATAACTTATCCTGTCATCTGAATAACCTGGGTAGGGAGAGAGTACCTACGCCCACATCACAGATGAGGGAATAGCAGAAAGCGTGAATAACTGGCTATGATCACACAGCTAGTAGGTGTCCTTTGTAATCATTGATGATTGCTTTATAAAAAGTTGGATTCAGCGGTATAGCACTTTAGACTGCCCTTGGTCTAGAGTGACTCACTGCTGCTGTTTCTCACAGGTGACTATCCTGCACCGAGAGCTGTCCTCACAGGCCATGACCATGAAGTTGTCTGCGTATCTGTCTGTGCAGAACTTGGACTTGTTATAAGTGGTGCTAAAGGTCAGAAGTCATTTCTTTCATTTTAAATCTTTAGAAAAATGCAGCATTTTCTCAAGCTAACTGTACTTATGATTTATTTATTTCAGGGGACTGTCTGTAGTCAAATGTAATTCCTAGGCCTTTTGCAGCTGTTCAGTTTTTGTTGTTAATATTTACTAGTATTAATATAAAATATAAATAAAGGTTTATGTAGGTTTTTGTCATCAGCCTTCTAACCATAACACTGACAAATTAAGTTACAACACATCCATATGATGCAGCTATTAAAAAGGACATTTAAAAGACAAAGGGGAAATGTCCCTGATGCAGTAGTGATTTGGGGCACATCAGACTTGTCTTTAGATCTACCTTCTTCTACATCCTTTGCTTTGTAAGGCTGAGGACTGTGGAAAGGTAACAAAGCTATTTGGCTCTTTTGTCTTTTTGTGGAAGAAATGCCATTTGGGGAAGAATGGGGAAACTCAGGTCCCGGTTCTGGCTTTCCTGACAATTCTCCATGGGACGACTCCAAGCAGAAAGGAGCCTGATGCTTGGGAGAAAGGAAATATCAATAGGAGGCAGGCAGAGTGCTGGGGAAGGCTGAAGGTGGCCAGGCCAGAAGTATAAGGTTACAGTTTTCATTTTAAGTACTATGGGAAATCATTGAAGTTTTTTAAGCAAAGTGATGATCTAGATGGTCAGATTTGGTTGTTGGAGCAAATTCTGGCTACTTGATGGAGAATGGATATAGTCTGAAGGCTAAAGACCATATTTGTTTGTGTTTTTGTTTTGTTATATTTTTTAATTTAGTGTAAAACAGTACATAACAAGTAAAGTAAGTTACAAACCACCAAATGTAAGGAAAAAAAGTTATTTTCCTAGAGGTAGTCATATTAGAGGTAGTTGTTATTTTCTCTTTTTTCCCCTAATTCTTTATAATTCTTCAGTAATCAGGAAAAAAATTAAAGTAGTTTTTAATGCCACTTGTTTTGTAAAATATGTGTGTATTCAAATCAATTGATTAAAAAATAAAAATAGAGCGCTGGCGGAGTGGCTCAAGTGGTAGAGCACCTGTCTAGCAAGCATGAGGCCCTGAGTTCAAAACCCAGTGCCACCAACAAAAAAACAGAAAATAAAAATAAAATTTATCCACCATCTTTGTGGGGTTTTGTTTGTTTTTGAGAGCATAAGGAGGCATACATACAATAGCAAATTATATAGAATAGTGGGTTTTTGTATTTATCAACACAATTTCTGTGAGGATAAAATTTCCCCAAAACAAAGTAAGTTCCTCCCTCATCCTTTTATACTCTTGCCTCACTGTTAATTTATTTAAAGGATGAAAAGTATTTCTGTAGTCTGCATTTACTTGATTAATTTCTTAACTTTCCTTTTATGTTTGTGGACTAGGAAAAGTAAAACTTACCAATGTAGTGCAGGGTTAAAATTTTGAAGCTACTAGAGAAAATTAGCAACTATTCTTCTGACAATTCTCTTTAAGTTTGAAGAAGTTTATAAAAGTACATTAGGAGAAACTTTCTACAGCATACTGTCTTTTTTCTCACATAATCTTAAAATGTGTCTTTTCATTATTAATATCACCTGAGGTAGAAAAAAACCAAGTGTTTTGCCTAGATAAAAAGTTTAGAGCACTATAGCTGTGTGTGTTATTGAAAAGTTATTCTGTATTTGCTCTGTTAAAATATAAGCTAAGTGCTTAGCTCTGGCCAGCATACTTCTTTCATTTCCTGTCTTCTTTCAACAACTCTGAGTGCCCATGTAGGTACAGTCTTTGGGTCGGTGAGAGCTGGCATGAGATTTGTGGTTACTCACTGAACTGGGCATTGATGTCCCCCACTCTGCAGAGGGCCCTTGCCTTGTCCACACCATCACTGGAGACCTGCTGAGAGCCCTGGAAGGACCAGAAAACTGCTTGTTCCCACGCTTGATTTCTGTATCCAGTGAAGGCCACTGTATCATATACTATGAACGAGGACGATTCAGCAATTTCAGCATCAATGGGAAGCTTTTGGCTCAAATGGAGATCAATGATTCAACACGGGTAAATCCATGTGTTTCTTGCTAAACAGGATGGAAGCCAAGAGAGTGAAGGCTAATTGTTTTACGTTAAATGATATGCGACAGAAGGTCGCATATCCACAAAAATGTGTGCTGGTGTAGAAAGCATATTAATTCATGTAGATTGATATTTTAAACAAACCCAAAATTTCTTTACTCCCAAGTAATTAACTCCATGAATTAGACTTTGGAGACCATAGTTGTTTGATTAGAGGTTTGGCCTGTAAGCAAACATTTTTTGCGGGGAAGAGGGGTACTGGTGTTTGAACTTAGGCTTTGCACTTGCTAGGCAGGCACTCTACCTTTTGAGCCACGCCTCTGGCCCAGGAACCTTCTTAAGCTCCCTTCATGAGTACTTGCTTCAGCACCGCACCCTCACAACATTAAAAGTGACTTCGCTGACAATCCTGTCTTCAGAACCTTAAACCAGAATGACAAGTCCCTGATTGCCCTTCATTCACAAATAAATTATAGTTGCTGGTTTATCAGTATTAAAAAACTTTTAAATATGCTTCTGTTTATTTGTAAAACTCTCAACATTGTTAATATCCAGGATTTAATCAAACACCATGTTATCTATGTCTCAAATTCTTTCCAGATTAGATTAGTAACATTCTCTTTGGGACTTTAATATTTTCATAATTAAATTGGTTTTGTAAGATCCTTTGTTTATATAAGAACTTTGATGAATTCCATATTAGAAATTTTGTGGACTAGACTATAGAAAACTTGGACAACTGGTGAAGGAAGGTGATAATTATAATGAAATGGATAGTGCTTTTCAGATTGCTAGGTGTTTTTTATTTGTGCTAGGGATCAAATCTAGGGCCTCACACATACAAGGGCAAGCTCTCTACCACTGAGTACTTTTCTTCATGACTTGATTTTGAAAAATTTGAAAGAAATGGTTGATTTTCTGCCTTTTTCTGAAGGCCATTCTCCTGAGCAGTGATGGCCAGAACCTAGTGACTGGAGGGGACAATGGTGTGGTGGAGGTCTGGCAGGCCTGTGACTTCAAACAACTATACATTTACCCTGGATGTGATGCTGGCATTAGAGCTATGGACTTATCCCATGACCAGAGGTGAGCCACATCAAAGACAGATATAGTTACTGGGGGCTGTCATGGAAAGGTCTTTACCTTCTACCAAGGTTAAAGTATGCTAGAATGAGATCCAAGTATCCAAATAGAAGGAAGGTTAGCACAGAAAGAACAAACTGAGGGGAGGAATGAGCTTCCTAAGGAAGGATCCAGTTAGTAGGAAGTACAGGCACAAGAAATCTCAGACGTGGGTCTGACAAAGAACAGGCCAGACACATTTTAAGAGTCCAAAGACACAGAGCTTATTCCCACCAGCATCTCTGTTCACTGACCCTCACCTTGTCTCAGGCAGGCTTAGCCTGATTGCCTGAGATTAAAGAAAAGAGATATTTTTTAGAAGAGGTGGATTTCAGGGAGAAGCCTGCCTCTAGGTTACCTAACTTCAGCAAAATGTGTAGCGTAAGCTACAGCTGTCCTCCATTTCAAAAATACAAGGTGCTAGCTCATTACCTAAGTCAGTCTCCCTATCTCTTGTTCACTTACTTCTCTTTTGTTATTTGTTGTATTTTGTGTATTCCCCTAAAACACTTAAATCCTTTCTTAGAGTTGACATGAAACTTAATTAACTAATTAATATCAGTTTCCAGGGTCTTCAGTTTGCAACAAGATTTTGCCATTTCCTAAAATTCACTTTTGGATTATTATAAAATAAAAGGAATGTGATGGATATAAAATTTAAATTTTCTAAATAAGATAAAACCCTATGCTATTAAAATGTCATATAACATAATCATTTTTGCTATATATTGAACAGAAATAAGCTTATTAGCCAACCCTTTTTCAATTATTGAAATTTCTCTTAAGAATATTGGTTTTGCTGGTCACTGATGGCTCACACCTTTAATCCTAACTGTTTGGGAGGCTGATATTGGGAGGATGCAGTTCAAGGCCATCTGGGCAAATAGTTTACATGACCCCATCTCCACAGTAGCCATAGCAAAATGGGCTGGAGGTGTGGCTCAAGTGACAGAGTGCCTGCTTTGCAAGCACCAAACTGTGAGCTCAAACCCCAGACCCACACACAAAAAAAGGAATATTAGTTTTAAAATATTTCAAATATTATGACATATAATTAATTTAATGAAGCTCTTTATAATATAATAAAAAGGTACTGAATGTACTTTAATTTAGTCTGAGGAACAGATATTTAGTTTGCAGCAGATGGTTTTTAAAGGAAAGTTTAAGGTTATCATTAAAGTTTCCCAAAGCATTGCAGTCCATACTTAGCATGGACTTAGTATAGAGCAGTTTACTGTGGAATTATTTGTATGTACATGGGTGTTTCAATAGTGTTTGGAATAATGCGTGTTCTCAAAAGGTTAAATATTCTGCCTATTATCCATTCATTTGCAACCAAATGCTGCCACCATTAGAGATGTTGTATTATGCAAAGTGCTGAGGGTACATAAGATTACTGACCCCAAAAATCTCAACTAATCCCGATCTCATTGTATGAGAGAAGCAGGAACAGTATTACAGAAGAAAATGATCAACACTTTTTGAGGACTGAGGAGGGTGGGACCAACTTCATAAGATGCTCCTTTATTCACTAGGCTTGAACAGAGAAGGCGAATCAAAGAGCATATTCAAAGTTACAGTAGTATTGTGTTCTCTAAATGCAATGAGGAAGGACACCAATTAAGTTTCTATTGCTATTTAGTTTCATTCTTAATTTTGGTTAGTTTTTGCTGTTCTATAATATCTGATATATTGGAACAGTAGTACATGATTAGACATTACAAGTTGATAGACAAACACATATTGGTTATATATTCTAAGAAGTAGTTATCTGATGAAGAGTTGGATTAGAAATTAAGCACATTTGGTCTAGGCAGAACGTAGTGAAACCTGAGCTCAGTTAGTGGAAGTGAGCCTGGGGAGGCCCCATCCCAAAGAAAAGAGCCTCAGAGCTGATGGTTGATTGATTGGAAGGCCCAAAGAAGAGGACTGGGTGATGTGGCCTACAAGCTCAGCAGGTGGACAGTGACTCAGGGTGGATGTGCTGGGTCTGAGGTTTTTGTGACAGCCTGCTGTCATTCAGTAGGCAAAGACATCCAATATAGACACAGGGAAATTGGCACCTGTGGCTTCAGAAGGAGTTGTGACTCCGTTTGCTCATGCCCAGGGAGAGTGTGTGAAGTGAGAGTTGATGTGATAGAGTGATTAAAGAAGACTAAGAAAAGTTAGAGGGTTGGGGTGAAAGACCGGAAGTTCTCAGAGAAGCCAATGGTTGTCCAAAAGGAAAATGTGGTTCCAGTGTTGCTCCATGTGTTCTCCAGTGGGGATTGGCTATCGAGGTTGACACAAGGCTGACTCAGCTTCTCCCAGCAGAACCGAGAAGAAATCTTAGTCCTGTCTCAATGAACTCACAACTAAGACTGGGGAAACTTTGAGGTCAGCATATTGTCTAGCATAAAGTAGCAAATACATAAATAACTTTGTGTAGCTCTTAACTACTGTCTCTGCTTTTCCAGGACTCTGATTACTGGCATGGCTTCTGGCAGCATCGTAGCTTTTAATATAGATTTTAATCGGTGGCATTATGAGCATCAGAACAGATACTGAAGAGAAATAAAAAACCAGAATCCAAGTTCAAGTGAGAGCACAAGTGCTGCATGGAAAGGCAATATCTCTGGTGGGAACACTCGTCTGCATCAGCCTCTGTTTGTACATTCCATCACACCCAGCAATAGCTGTCCATTGTAGTCAGCAACCATTTCACTTTGTGTGTTTTTTCAGGACTGAACACCAGCTGCTATCAAGCAAGCTTATATCATGTAAATTATATGAATTAGGAGATGTTTTGGTAATTATTTCATATATTGTTGTTTATTGAGAAAAGGTTGTAGGATGTGTCACAAGAGACTTTTGACAATTCTGAGGAACCTTGTGTCCAGTTGTTACAAAGTTTAAGCTTTGAACCTAACCTGCATCCCATTTCCAGCCTCTTTTCAAGCTGAGAAAAAAAATCACGTTTGATACTTTGTACATCAGATGCATCTTATTTAAAGGGATACTTTTGTAAAAGTAAAACCTTGTATAAAGAACAAAACGTTTCTTAATTTTATTGTGGAGTTACAACTTGCATGTTCTTTACTCCGATGTCTCAATGGAATAGGTGCATTCATGCTATGAAACAGAACGATCTGTCCAAGGACACAGCTTGTATGAAAGGGTTGAATTTGGGCTCAATCAATAATTTTTGACATATTCACCAAAATATGGTTTTCACTTTTTAATCTAAATTCATCCCTTCTAAGTGAAATTTGCTCATAAAACATTTGGATACTAAGCCATTATTTGCCATTTTTGGTACTTTATACAAAGAAAATTCAGCCCTACCCTTTATAATTTGAAGACACAGCAGGAAGGGGGCTTAGGGATGAGGTCCTGGTTTTTATTGTATGATAGGAGTCATGATCATTAGTTCCACAGTAATGACTTCCCAACACCTGGACATCTCTTCCAGAGTCATCCCACAGGCTTAGTGTTTGTACATTTGGGGAGGAGAATGATGCTAACTGTTTTTTTTTCCCTCTTTGGTTCATGAATAGCTTAGTTTCTTTAATAACAAGTCAGACTTTATTACAACAATAACTGAAGATACTCTTTTAAGTTCTTGTGAAATTCTCACCTAAAGTCACATTCTTAGCCTAAGGCACTTCATCTTCTATGATGTAAAATGATGGCTATCAAATGATTTTCCATACATTGTACTGATCCAGTTATACACCCAGGGGTATATACTTTATTCATGTTTCTTCTTTGTATATTTGGTGACTGTATTGTCATAGATGTACATATTGTGTCGGTAGGGCTATGAGGCATGTTACAGGAATGTAATTTTCTCAGAATTTACACTCACTTGCAGTCATTTATTTAAAAAGATAAAGCAAGATAATGGGTTCTTTGTATTGGCACTTTGCACCAGAAACATATCATTATTTATTGATGTGATTACTTATTTGTTATCCACCTTGTACTAGTAAGTTTTAGCACTGAATTATTCCTTCTTCATTGTTGTTTGTATTTATGAAATTCTGAAATTATGGGGAATCAGTGTAATGATTAAGTTATTCATCACCAGGCTGTAAGCAATATCTTGAGTTTGTAGCTTAGAACTGGGAGGATACTGAACATCTGGAAGACAAGTTCATTTCATCTTGAGATCATGGTGAAATATTTTGGATATATAAATTCCTTAAGCTATTGTAACCATGTTTTATTGCAAAGATGTAAAATATGCCAGATGTGTGTGAGTTGGAAATCAAAAAAAGAAAAATAAAATATGCAAAGAATTCACTGATTGTTTCACATTTCATTGGACACTTCACTCATATGCATCTGTCATGTTGTCACACAAGTTTAAGGAATCAGCAGGGCCCTTTGTAAGGGCCTGCATCTGAAAACAAGAAATGCAACCCTAATGAGGCCCCGTTGTTTGCTGGAAAACAAGCTGCTCTGCCTGACCGTCTGGCAGGGATTTGGGGCAACAGTGATCAGAGGAAACAGCCCTGGTGGTCTATTCGGCATAATCTACTTTTTTGGGGTTCTTTTTATTTTATTTAAAAGAAACTAAATAATGAAGGCTATAACACCTTACATGAGTATCATCAGATAATGCTATTTCATTTGAAATCATACTGTGTGGAACTCATCATCAACCAAGCATGGCACAGGCAGGGACAGAGACCTGGAAGAGTCTGGCAGCTGCTGGCCACAGCACAGTGGGAGGCAGGAGGACTGCTGATGGGACTTCAACCAAGCAAATCAGTGTGTGTATGGGGGCAGGGGAAGGGCGGGCTGCAACAAGGCTGCAGTCCAAACAGGCCCAGACAGTCACAGAACTGCAAGTAATGCCTCTATCTGGAAAAGGACAGAGCCACTGGGTACCCCACAATAGCTGGCCCCTCTCACTCTCTCCATCCTATCCCCAAACCAGAAACCTCTGCTGGCTGCCTCAACCCTGCCCTTCTCAGCCTGTCAATGACTTTAGCAGCCTGCTGCTTCCTCAAGTGCCCTGAAAGTGCTCCCTTCTTCCCCCCACCATCATCTGAACTCTCCCCAAACCTGCTGACCAGCTGATGTGGTGACATTGGGCACATTTTTCAACCACACAATTAGAGGGCTAAAATCCAAACCCATTAGAGCCCTTCCTTCATGAAGGACAAATCTTCCTGGTCACTCCCCCCGAGGTGACCACACCCCAGGCCTGCCCATCCATCTATAAATGCTTGAGGACTCCCCCTGTCTGAGTTTATCCTGCCTGGGCGCCTCTCTGCCCACATCGCCCACTTTAACTTTTGTAGAAAATTCAGCTGAACTCACTTGGTCATGCACAGTATGTTTGGCAGGTAAAAATGGTCGCAAGCCCCATGCTCTCACTATGTTACGATGAAAACAGCTTTCAGAATCAAGTTCTGCCACATGTAAATACTTTTTAAACACATCTTAACAAGCAGCCATAAGAACATTCCTGCAACTCTTTTGTGAGTTTGTTGAAGTCCAAGGGCTGTTCCTTTAAGGTGATCTGACAACCATTTTTTTATTGATGGTATACCCAAAGCAGAAGCACCAGTCATCTGGAAATGGGATCCCACGAGCCTTGTAATGTAATCAGCAGCCAGAATCATCTAAACCAACCATTTAGATATCACATCTTGGGCACCATCCCAGGAGAGCACGCTTATGTCCTGGTTATAGAAAGACAGGAAAGGGCTCTCAAATACATTAACCAGTGTACACTGAATTCATATATACTAAGCACCACTATTTTCATCATGAAAGACCATTTCTGTCATCTTATGCTAATTTAGAAGTCAATAATTTCTCCCACTGAAAAGCCATCTTTAGTATGTAATATTTCAACTAATAAAGCCTCTGGTTCCCCTTAGGAGTCTGGAATTGACTTTCTGACTTAAATGATCAGGAATGCACATTTCAACTGTCCCTAAAATAGAGTATAAATCGGCACATCACATATCTATACTAGATACTTTAAAGAATTCTAACATCGTAACACTGCTTCTTTTCCTTACAGACTTCAATCCAGAGGTGCCTTCTATGTGAAGCCTTCCCTGAGCACTGGCTTGGCTTCCCCAAGCCTGACATGTCACCATCACAGCAGGGAGCAGTAGCACTGTCACAACAAACTTATCTCTTCTTCCCATGGCTGTGAACTTCTCGGGCACTGAGACTCTTTCATGTTTTTGGATTCAGAGTAGATTCTTAGCAAGATGTTATTTACTGAACATATGGGTAAACAGATGACCACCAGATTACTGGGTGAAATGGCAAAGTTGGCTGGTATGGCCAGGAGCCACAGATATCCCTCTTCCAATTACCCCAGCACAAGGCAGCCTCAAATTGCCCTGCCCTGCCCTGCACTGTGGCACCATCTGTAAAACTTCATGCTCCAGTTATCACTCAACTTGTGGACCCTTCTTTTAAGGTTCAACTGTAGTCTCAGCTACAAGGGAGGCTTGTAGGAGGAACTCAGTCCAATGTTGGGCCCAGGCAAAAGTGTAAGACCCTATTTGGAAAAATAACTAAAGCAAAAAGTGACTGGAGGTGCAGCTCAAGTGGTTAGTAAGTATGAGGCTCTCAGTTCAAATCCCAGTGGCACTAAAAAGCAAACCAAAAAAACACTAATAATAGCAATTCCCAGTAAGGTGCAACAAATGAGATATTTAATTTTCTAAATTATCATTTTTAACGTGCATTCATCCATTTGGAAGAAAAGCTGACAGATACTTTGGGGTAAGAGAATCTGGGATTGTGACCTAAGACCACATTAGAATAACTGGATGCCTCACTTTGAAAATAGCATGTTACTTCCATCAACAGTTAAAGTGGGGATGATAGTAATACCACCATTATGTACTGTTCTGAGTATTCAAACGCATAGCATATGTCAAGCACCTAGCAGATCACTCAGCTCAGTAGAGTTCAACAGATGGTCATTACCGTCCACAGTCTAGTGAACATGCATTATTTGCATCTGCTCAGTGTCCTTTCTTATTTATCTGCTATGTATTTTCTCTGGGGAAATGTCTCCTCCCCTTCCTATCATGTGATCTGTTGGGATGACAAATTGTTAGCACCCAGTCCCTGGGGCTTACTGGACTCAGGCCTGCCTAACCATGGCACATCCTCTCCCACAAAATGAGTGACTGGTCAGAAGTAGGACATGACCTGAACTGGACTTCCCAAAGTCTTTTCCTGAACTTTATATTCTGAAATAAGGAAGTAAAGTCATCTTTTTCTTCTAGAGTCATCAGCCTTTCACTAAGAAATCACTAAGACTCTTAGCAACCCTGATCGCTATTACGTGGAGAATTTCCCTCATACTTACAGATGCTCCAGTTTGCTTTGGTTGAGGGCCAAGAAATATTTTTCTCCTCCTCATTTAAGTTGGTCAAAACTGTACTTTTGAGTGTTTGAGATCAAATCAAAGAACCCTTATATGACCCAGCTCCCTACCTCCAGTACCCTTACCCTGCTTAGAAAAATGTGACACAATCCCAATTTGACAGGAAGTTATATTCCCAGCCTATGTACAACCCAGTAATCCCATGTTTAGGTATAGATCCAAAAGAATACATGCTCCAAGAGGGAGCTGACAGATGGTTTGATGTAAGAGCTTCTGATATGTGTGGCTTCTGATCAGAATCCAAAAACTGGGCACATTATTCTGGAAACTACCTATTAGTTATTTCCATAGACATAGAAAAGAATGCTCTTAGCAACTTTGTTTCTAATAACCAAGTATAGATGTGACCTTCAAAGTCAGACACAAGCGAGTAGGTAACATCAGATTCCATTTACGTAAAACCGATAGAACTGATAATATTCTGTTAGACCTCAGAAGAATGGTTACTTTTGGCCACTAGAATTAAGTGACTAGTAATGACCATGAGGGGATGTGTAGAGCACTGGAATTTTATTCTAAGGTGCTGGGCTCTATTTCAGAGCTCGTGTTAGGTTTTACCATGAAATGTTCCCCAGAGGCTCATGTGTTGAACACTTGGTCCCTAGGTGGTGGTCCTATTTTTGGAGGTTGTGGAAACTTTAGGATGGGGGCCTAGCTGGAGGAAGTAGGTCACTGGGGGCGGGTTCTTGGTGGCATATTATCCCTGGCCCCTTCCTGCTGTGTTCTCTTTCCTGTCTTCTGAGGACATGCTCCCACCAGGGCCAAAACAGTCATAGACTGAGCCCTCCAAATCATGAGGCAAAATAAGTTGTTCCTCCTTTAAATTGTTTCTGTCAGGTTCTTTGATCACGGTGATGAAAAGATAACTAATATACCAGGTAGGTTTCCAATGGGAACATTCACAGAGCTATAAAGTGATAATCTGTGTGTGTTGTTACACTTCTGTAAAAAAGTGCATTTTGAAACATTAAAACTATGCAAATTGGCTTGGTGTGTGTGTGTGGTACTGGGGCTTGAACTCGGGGCCTACACCTTGAACCACTTCACCAATCCTTTTTTTGTGATGGGTTTTATCGAGATAGGGTCTGGCAAACTATTTGCCCTGGATGGCTTCGAACTGTGATTCTTCTGACCTCTACCTCCTGATAGCTAGGATTACAGGCATGAGCCACCAGCTCAAATTGGCTCAAATTGGTTCCTGGGACCACTTTGAATTTGTAGACCCATCACAGAAATTTGGACCACTATTCTTGTCTTTCCCTTCCTTCAGTGGCTTTCAGGTCTGCATCTTGGCCACCCCTCCTGAGGAACACTTTTCTTCTCATGGTGCCTAGCCCCAGTGCTTCCTCTTCTAGGAAGCCTCCCCTCCACTGCCCAGTAGGTTCCCTGCTCACTGTGTACATGGCACTTGTACACAAGCCTTCTTTAGCACCTGCCCTAGTTCATTTGAGCAGCTATAGCCAAATTACACTGGATTTATTGCTCACAGCTCTGCAGGCTGGGAAGGCCAAGATAAAGATTCTAGCAGATTTGGAGTCCAGTGAGAACTCCTTGACACATGTCACTTTGTACAGCCTCACATAATGGAAGGGACAGATAATCTCCCTTGGTCCTCTTTTATATAAGGGCACTAGTTTCATTCATGAGGGGTCTGCCCCTATGACTTAACCACCTCCCCCAAAAGTTCCACCTCCTAATACTATCACATTAGGGACTAGGTGGGAAAATATGAATGGGGGGGGGTGCAAATACTGATATAACAGTACCCACATTACTGAATTCTTACTGCTTATTGATTCATTTCTCTCTTCTACTGCATGGTAACTCAACTACAGGGATTTCTTCTTTTTGTGTCCTGGGCAAAAAGTGTA